GTAGTGTTAAAATAGTGAAAACTATTTCTAAATGATGGGATTTAACCTATATTCATGACTCAAATGTCTCTTTTATATTGAAGTAAATGTAGCAAAATTGTAAATGTGATGTATGTAGTAGATCTTATTTCGAATTGTAATTCACAAAGGAAAAGCGTGTCTGCAAATTTTACTGATTAGGAAGTACCTAGAAGGATTTCAGCTACTGAGAGAAACCTCATTTAGAATCATAGAATCATTTGGAAAAGACTTTTAAGATCATCAAGTCCAAGCATTAACCTAGCACTGACAGGTTCACCACTAAACCTCGTCACTAAGTGCCACATCTACCCGTCTTTTAAGTACCTCCAGGGATGGTGACTCCACCACTTCTCTGGGCAGCCTGTTCCAGTGCTTCAAAACCCTTTTGTTGAAGAAACTTTTCCTAATATCCAATCTAAACCTCCTCTGGTGCAACCTGAGGCCACTTTCTCCTGTTCTATTGCTTACTACTTGGGAGAAATGACCGACCCTGACTTCGCACCCTAGCCTCCTTTCAGGTAGTTGTGCAGAACAATGAGGTCTCCCCTGAGGTTCCTTTTCTTCAGGCTGAACAACCCCAGTTCCCTCAGCTGCTCCTCATAAGATTGTTCTCTTTATATCCTTCACCAGCTTCATTGCCCTTCTTTTGCCCTCCAGCACCTCAATGTCTTTTTGTAGTGAGGGGCCCAAAACTGAACACAGTACTTGAGGTGTGACCTCACCAGTGCAAAGTACTGTGACAAAGGGACAGTCATTTCCCTGGTCCTGCTGGCTACACTATTTCTGATGCAAGCCAGGATGTTATTGGCTTTCTTGGCTACCTGGGCACACTGCTGGCTAGCAGAAGTCTAGCAGAAGTCCTTAGAGAAGATGTACATGAGTTGTGTAGTCTGGTTATTTATTAGTTCTGAACTCTTTAAGTGTCATTGCTGGAATTAAATTAAAACACATTTATTATTTTTAATGACTACCATAGCCACTCAAAGCTAGCAATAGCACTGAATCTGGAGGAAGGGATTATGTCTTCCTTAGCAGCATAGTGCAAGTATGTTGGATCAGATGGCCACTCTTTCATTTTTATCTTCTAATGCATTCATGTTATAACTCAGGTCAGTTTTTAATTGTCATGCCACTTGAAAATGCAGCAAGTAATGGTGATCTGGCTGGCAACCTTAATTATAACTGCAGTGTTCAACTTGAAGTTTTCTTCTTGTTTTCTGTTGTGATAGGAAGCAGAGCAGTGCCTCTGATGCACTGAGGTCTTTTGGAAAATTCTACTATGGAAAGTTAAAAGACAAGTTAGGGGATTTTGAATTGGCTACGTGTTACTTCAGCAATAGTTTCACTGTCTACTCACTCCTCAGTACTGCTGAGCTGGGATGAGAAACTGAACCAGCTTGAAAATACAGGAAGTTAAAAAAAAAAAAAAAGGTTGTTAGGTAGAATGCAAGCAGTTTTCTTCCTGGCTTCCCAAAGGATGATAAGGTCACAACGTGAGGTCTGATGTAAGCTGAGCACATACAGCAAGGACTGGACAAAGCAGGTTCTCAGAGTGCCCCGGGCAGCACCATAGCTGAACCTACCATCACAGCTTCGAATTTAACTGCTCTATTCTCTGTTCAGCTTCTAAGTTCAGTCCTGGTGCAGGTCTATGCATTGCCTTCTTCCCTGAGAGGTAACCTGAATGTGATCAGACGAAAACGGCAGTTTTCTTGTCTTATAGAACCACTGCATTCAGAATTTATGGCTGAATGGTTGATGTAATCATTAAGTTTTAATTTGTAGCTATTCCTAACAAGAACCCAGGAACTTCAGCACAGCAGTAAGATTAGATTTTTGCTGCAGTATCAGTGAAGCATTTTTTCCTTTCATTTTTACTTAAGCTAGTACTAGATTTTTACTCCAGCACTGTAAACATCTAGTAGAAAAATAGACAAGTTATGAAAAACCAACTGCTGATGTCAGTAAGGGATATAATCTAGATTTTATTTGAGTTTTTTTGGTGCTGCAAAGTTGCTCAATTCTGGGATTATGATTATTTTGACTAAGTTTCTTGGCAGATTCAGTGAAATACCAATGTAAGTTAGATTGTTTTCTCTACCCATTGTAGCTGGCTGTGGTGTCTTTTCTGTATATGTAGTTGCAATACCTTTAATTAAGCTATTCATTTCCTCTGGCACATTCGGTGCTTGTTCAACAGATTAAGAGTTCTTTTCATGAGACTGCCTTTCTAGACCATTAAAAACATACTAGGTGTCTTTTCTACAATTCACTTTTAGGGAGGTGTTGGTTTTGGGTTTTTGGGGTTTTATTTTGTGATTCACTTTTCCTAGAAGAAAAAGAAATTAATCCTTATCTTATGGAGAATGTATGCTAAAGAGAAAAGTTCTCCTATTTTTCACTCTCTACAGAACAGAACATATGGTGAGTGTACACAGGATGCCTCTTGAGTCTATCCAAATAATAAAATTGGAGCACCTATTCAAGTAGAATCTTCACTGTCTATCTACAGTAGCAATAGCAGAGATGCAGAAAGGAATTCACCATGTTATACAAATGAGTAAGTACAAAGCAGGCTGGAATAGGTAGCTAAAGAGATTGATGTCTAGCAGATTTCAAGCAATTGAGTCAGCAGCCCATCCTGTGCAGACTTCATTATCACTTTTCAGTGATATTTGAACCAGCAGTTCTGGTCTTATAGAAAATATAAATGTAGCTTGTCTTTAGATGGAAATACTTAAAAATGTAACGTGATTCCTGGAATTTTCCAGTACTATGTGCAGTGAAGTTACACACCTTGTTGTAGCCTGTGTAAGATGCTAGAACAAAAATGTCTATAAGAGCATTCTTGTTGAAAAGCCAAAGGGTGGAGAACACAAGGCATTTCCCTCCACTGCCTCAGGTCACAGGCTTTAATTACCTGTTTATGCATCATGTGAGAGTCTCTGAAGACTACCTAAACAGCTTTCAGGTGGTTTGGAAGGTAGGGGTTGGCAAAAATAGACCCTATTTCAGATTAAATTGCTTGTCTCCCTAGCTGTTTGCATGATCAACAGAAAACAGTTGATTATGTTAATACGCAAGTATTGGGGCACACCTTAGGAGAAACTCCGTAACAAAATACCTTTGTAAGAAACACACACTGCTATCACAGAAACAGTTTAAGAAGGAAAATATTTAGTCTGTTTTGTCATTTGCTAGTGCCTGTAATGAATTCCACTGTTATCTCAGGAGTCAGATGAGACGCCTGACAGTAACTATGCATGACAAACCTGAACTGATATGGAAAGTGTATCACAGACTCACAGAATGTTAGGAGTTGGAAGGGACCTCGAGAGATCATCCAGTCCAACCCCCCTGCCAGAGCAGGATCACCTAGACTGGGTCACACAGGAACACTTCCAGGCAGGTTTTGAATGTCTCCAGAGAAGGAGACTCCACAACCTCTCTGGGCAGCCTGGTCCAGTGCTCCATAACCCTTACAGTAAAAAAGCTTTTCCTCATGTTCAGATCGAGCCTCCTATGTTCCAGCTTGCACCCATTGCCCCTTGTCCTGTCATTGGACATCACTGAGAAGAGCCTGGCTCCTTCCTCCTGACACTCGCCCTTTACAAATTTATAACCATGAATGAGGTCACCCCTCAGTCTCCTCTTCTCCAAGCTAAAGAGGCCCAGCTCCCTCAGCCACTTCTCACACCTCAGTCTCCTCTCACCACCATGCTTCTGTGCTACATTGCAGCAGCTAAACTAAGCAGGGACCTAACTCAGAACAAAACTCATGCAGATTTTGTCTTTTTCCTTCCACCAAAAGAAACAAATAAATAAAAATCAGCTGCACCAGCTAAACCTAAACAAGCACAGAAACATGAAAGAACAAATATATGGAGGAAAGGTAGGACTTGTCTCAGCTACAGCTACAGCTACAGCTACAGCTGTGTATGGCAGCATATGGTAAAAGCATTTTAGGTCTTAATCATTAGGATTTTTTGGTGGTGCTTTTAGAAGGACTTTAATTGTAGGAAAAGGCAACATTGTTTAGAAAAATAACTTTATTTTGGCATCCTCAGTGTTAAAAGAACCTGGAATGCAAGCTGAGCTTGACAGAAAGCAGAAACCAGCAGTTCCACCAATGACATTTAGACACTACTCCAGTTCTTCCTTTAATTTTTTGAGAAACTTGAGTAATTTTGGATCCAAAAGCAAGATTTCTGATATAGTAAGAACTGCAAAATTACAAGTCTAACTCTCATCAGGCACAAAACTGAAGTTTCCCTGAGAAGATGTAATTACAAACTAGTGTATAAACTTTATATCACATTATCAGGGAGGTTTAAGAGTATAAAAGCAAGATTTGGCTACAAAAATCAGGAGGATTAAGAATTACATATTACAGAATGACAGCAATCAGATTTAAGTTAATGATGACAGCTGGCTTTGGTATATTCCTTTTTGTTTAGTTTTCAGATTAGCTCTAATAATATTTTCCTGAGATCTTTCAGTACTCAGTATGAAGTCTGTGCAGTCCAGCTGCTTTTTTCCTTTTTATTTCTCCCCCCTTTTCATCTTTCCTTTCCAGCTAGCATTACATTAATGGGAAAAAAACAAACAGAGGAATAACCATGAACAATATGCATTTTCCAAGCCTTTAAACAAGTAATTTAGCCAAAGGAAGTCCACTAATTACATACCTTAGATAATAAATATTGCAAATACTTGGCCTTCCAAAAATCACTGTCTTTGATTTTGTAGCCTAAGTTCCAAGACTCAGTGTGCAACAGAAGGTATCCCCATTTTCACTTGTGACTTGTCTTGTCTCCCTTTTGTCCATGGAGAAGCAGGGACGGTGTCAGCACCACCATACAAACATGGTGAGAACCATTATACCCATCATCAGCATCACCGCCATCAGCGTTACATGTTAAAAGTTCATAACTGTATACTATTTGTACCTATATTTCATATCATGAGCATGCAGAAATTCAGTTCTTTTGCAGATACAAAGCTTTGTGTCGCAAATGCTCTTCTAAACACTTCACTGCAAAAGGGTCAACATCAGTGTCAAACTTATTAGCAAAGAAGTGGTGGTTTCGTAGCATCCAGTTCAGGTCTCCTACCCCAAAAACACAGACAGAACGAACATGAACTCCACTGCATGGTGGGTAGGGTGCACCTTTAGACACATCACCTTCAAAGTACTGCCACTTGACAAACCTGGCCAGTGCGTTCATGTCAGAAACATCATACTTGCCACTAGAAGAAACTGCACCGGGGACTTCAGGGATTCTCTGAATTGTTGCCCACAGGTACTCATCTGGGCTGTAAGTGTCTTTTGCCCATTCAATGAACTTAAGTATTTTGCTGCTTTCTAGTGTGTGTTCTACAAATCTTCTGCTGACTACAAAATAGGCACTACCAGAAAAAATCGGAGTACTGAGAGGTGGTAGTTGTTTGTCTACACCCGTGTTCTTTATTCTACCATCAATAATTTCATGGTGTTTTTTCCACCTTACTTCTTTATAAACAGGCATTTTTTCCGTTTCCAAGCTGTTTTCACCTTTAAGGGCTTTTAATTTCTCTACTATTTCCTGGTTAGTCTTTATAGGGAAGTCCATGCCACAGAGGTTTATTAGGTATTTCCAGTTTGAACTTCTTCTGTAGAGATCTTTCATGCAGTTAATGTCTGCCTGCACCCTGCTCCATGAAGCATATACAACACTCTCTAACTGGCTGGAAATAAAGACATTATCAAAACAAGAGACTATTCCCTTCACAGCAGCAAAAAAAGATTCTGGAGACTTTTTGTCAACATGAATGCAGTAAAAATTCTGAGGGGCATAGATTGATCTTAGAAGTCTATCAAGCATCTCAATTTTGTGATAAATCACTATCGAGTAAGCAATTGGAAATTCTGCTTCTTCATTGCTGAGAGGTTCTGTAATGTATTTCCTAGCCTTGGTGAAGGAGGCACAGTCTGCTGTCATGTTAATATAATCATTTGTTGTTAGTCTGGGACGTCTCTTAAATGACACTGACAACATCTCAAGCTTTACCTTTTGAATTTCTTCTATATCCCCCTCTGTAATCTTGGTGCAGTTAACATTGCCAATAGGGTCTTCTTCTGTCAGCTCTAGATGTCTCCGATTTAAGAAGTCTTGTTTCTGGTTGACTTTCAAAACCGAAACGATTACTAAAATAAGAGTTAGACCCAAGAAAAGCCTGAAGTGTGAGTTGTGGCAAAACCGTAATTTCCTCTTCAGCATTTCAAATACCAGGTGGCTTTGCAGGGCTAAAGAAATTGCCCTCCGCTCTGCTCATAACAGCTTCAACAACTTCAGAAAACACAGTTTGTATTTCTCAAGAATTTGATGAATTTGTCAGGAAGATAGAAGGAAAAATCCTAAAATAAATTTAAATATGACTGTCATTCAAATACTAAAAAGTTTGCTTAAAAAACTAGTGGTTAATAATTACATTGTTATTTAGTGAATCTAAAAAAATTATTAGTTCAGCCAAAACTATTCTGTTGAAAATTATAAGTCAATGAATAACATTAGTTTATGTTTCTAGAAAAAGATAGGGAGAGGCAGATAGTTTTCGTGAGACATTCTTTCCTGTCTTGTACCAGTTATAGTATTAAGATTACAAACCACAGTTCAAGAAGAAAACAGAGCTAATTTAGCTACACCTGACAAAATTAAAGCTAATAGGTCAGATACATTACTAAGAAGTAAATATTTTATATTTATTCACACGTCAGAGTTTGACAATAATGTTTTATACTCACTTCAGCAATGACATAGATTTCATTATGACTGTAACTTACCACTCACTTCCTGTATGCTAGTCATGCTCTATCTTCTCACCGGGAAAGCAGTTCTTGAAGCCTTTCAAGATTTTTATGTGAGTTACAGCCTTTTCAACATCCTGCAGATGAGCTTTGAAACTATCAGGAAAGATCTGATGAGAAAGGGAGGAAGAAGTTAGAACAGCATAGCTCCTCAACTTTCAGAGTTGTGAAAGCAGCTTTAACTGAATTGCTGAAGTACCTTTTTAAGGTAAAAGGCAATACTTATGGCTTATCTCTAAAGCCGATTTGTGCTAACTCACTGCAAATGCACAAACCTAAGAACACAGCAGTGTAGTGTTACCATCGTTTAACCACACTTGTTTTTATGACTCAGCAGTTGCTTTTATGTGTAAATATGCTGCAACACTGAGTTGCAACAATATCTCAATCTAGCCATCTTTATTTCAGAGGCACTACATTGGTTTTGTTAGTCCTGTTTCCCCTTAAGCACCTTTCTTCTGTTTCAGTACTCTGTGAAGGAATCAAGGCACTTTTATGTAACTGCTACAGTTGTAGCTGTTGAGAAAACTCCAGTCTAAATCTTGATTGCAGAACTCGGTGTCTTTTTTTGTAAGTACTACCTCATGTAGGTGTAGGTAAACTGATCAAGAACAGGATATCCTTAAACAACTTACATTGCTACTCAAATGACATTTCTAATAACTTATTGGCTCAAGTGCAGTTTTGAATTTCAAACCAACCTCTAATTGTAAAAGCCAATACAGTTAATAGAAAATGTCTTCCAAAAATTTGACTTATAAGTTTAAAGATTAATGAAATACTGAAATATTTGAGGGATCTACAGATCCCTTGATTTTTACTACTTTCAAGGAAAAAAAAACTAACTAGTGCCTCTGAATAACTTTCTGCACAGCTCTAAGAATAATTGTTACCTCCAAAAGAGTTGTAAGAAAATTTGTTTAAGAAAAAGAAGCAGATCCTCTGTCTGCTTTGGGTTTTCTGTAGGTTGTTCAGTGTAAGATTTTTCTTTTTTTCCCTCTTTTCTTTAAGCTACTTTTAAATCATTTTAGCTCTTAATTCTCAAACTGTGGCTTTTAACCCACTATTTGAAAATATCAGAACAGGTACATGGATTGAAGCCTGGCATCACAGAGGTTTTTTAGTGGTAATGGTGCCACCAAGATGTACTACACATTGGGTCCATCACTATGCCCAAACTGACTGGAGGAATTGATCCACCTGTAGTAGGTGTGGGGAAGGTGCAGATCACTACACAAATGTCTAGCACAGCTGTAAAGATCAGCAGTACTTTAAGCAAGTAGTATAACAAAATATTTTGTAATTCAAAACACTAGCAGGCAGAGACCAGAAAATATTTGTGACATTATATAAATATCTTATTTACTATAAAGTGTACTTTGTCTCCCAGAGTTACACCTGTAATTATTTTATCTTGCATTCCTAATTTATCTTAGGGAAATGGATACTTGTTGCAAATCTGGTTGAGGTTTATAGTGAAGTCAAACTCAAAGAACTAAAATTTTAACCCTTAAGGTAAGTAGCGAGATGAATTAGTGTGCAATTACAGCTGAAAGCAGAGAGGTACCTTTTAAGTATCAGGTCTCACACTTTAAGTTTGAATTAAAAAAAAATTAAAAAGGTAAACTCTACAACTGCCACTTTTAGTTTGCAATGGGGCATCAAACACAATAAAATAATTTAAAGCTAGTTTTAACAGGCTTTATAACTTATCACACACTTTCTTACTTGACATCCTGCTAGTTTTGACTGTTAGATCTAATCCAATAAAAATAGCCACTGCGTACTAAATTAATGAAGAAAGAATACTAGCTACGTGATAGTCTCCATAATGTCTATCAAGTATATATTTCCACAGGATAAAGTTTGTGATACTGGTTACCCTTAAATTACTATTTTCTGCCTATCAACTTAGAAATTAAGATTTTTCTAGAACTTCAAATGTACTTCAAATACAGTTACATTTGTGAAGCTACCACTGCAGTCTTCACCTTCTACGATTTCCAAAGAATAAAGCTTGCCAAGAAGGTCTTGCATACCCAGCTGGGTGCAATTCCTCTATAGTTTTGAGCTCAGAATAATCAGACTCTGCATTTCCATTATACCAAAATGAGAGATCTACAAACATTTGCACATTAACATGGCTCTTATCTTTAGGTGGAGGTTTTTCCCCACAGTCAAATTTCTCTCACTGACATACTGCCTCCTCTGAACAGTCTTAACAATAAGTTACTACTAGTTTATGCTTGCAATTCCTTTTCTAAAAAGTCATAATCTTTATCATATTCCATTCTTCACAAAAGCTGACCTATATAGAATGAAAGATGTGGTACCTTTCATCTAATAATATACTTGGCTTTTTGTTTTATAAAGATTTATGAGCCTAGGATACTGAAACATAGTTTCAGACTGCATTCAGTAAAGCTTTTAACATCTTTTTCTCAAGCTCTCCATAGCTTTAGTGTGCACACTAAAGAATGCTGTGTCAAAGGCAGCACTTTGCACTGCGAGAGAGCAGGAGGGAGTTTTGCACAACCACAGGTAGAAGAATTTATGCTGCAGCCTTGGTCTTGCTCTCAACTGAAGTTCAGTTGCAGAAGTTACGTACTTGACCTTCTTCCTTCTTTTACTGCCTTCTCCTCAAGTCACAGCCTGTATTTCTGATGCAGTTGTCATTAAAAGGGGAAACTTACAGCAGTTGCTGGTAGTTGGAGTTAGTACAAAGGTTGAGTTAGCTGCCCACTCCTTTCCTGCCAAAATTATTCTCCGCTGCTGTATACAAACTGTACAGTATGACTAAACACAAAACCAACATAATTTAAACTTGATTTCTACTAGCGTCTAGTGTTCTCCATTTAAATAGATCTTATGGAAAGGATTACTGTACCTAGTTTAAACCTCTGTTTCTGGCACCTCTTCTGTGTCAGAGGGCAAATCACTTGGATCATCTACCTCTTCAGTTTGTTCACCTGTGAAACAAGTACTCATTGTCTGGCCGTTTGGGAGATATCTTGGTAAAAGTCAAGTTCTGATTTAACTTTTATATTATTGTAAAGGTGCTACTGTAAAACAGCTGATTTTATTAACAGTGTATTTACCTGGTTACTACATAAACCTGTGTTAACTCTACATGCTAAATTATTAATCTGACCCATGGTACTGACTGAAACAAGTCAGTAACAGACTACATGGGCATTTATGCCAAAGGAGCTGAAGGGGAATAATCTTCATCAAAGAAAGGCAGTGGCCACAGGCAGAAGGGAGGTAGCACCCTCCAAGCCCAGCTCAGCATGTGATTTTAGGTAAGTTTGGCTTCACCCATCCTTAAAAAGAAACAAAAAACCCCACAAGATACCCAAGTCTCCAGAGAAAAAAACAAATAAAACATTTTCACAAGATTGTACCACATCTCAGAGAGAGACCAAAGTTCACGTGGAAGTTTTATACAGACAAGCTGGACAGAAGCTGCAGCACATAATGGCAGTGCTATTAGCAAGGACCCTTATACCCACACCACACACTGGTCCTAAGAAAAAGAATGTTTGCGGATGTTGCCGAGAGCTGACAGAGCCCTCACGAAGGGCATGTGCCTCAGCCCAGTAACACAGAAACGAGCCTTTGGCCACCGGCACAGCAGACCTCTTCAGCTGCAGTTTCACAATGTGATGGGTCCAATATCATGACATGCTGCTGGTGCAAGGTGTGGCCCTGCTCCCATCTCCACTGGCTGCACATCCCTGGCACCTTTGCATGTCAGGCCAGATGGGGTACAAGAGCAGATCCAGCCTGCTGGCCTCTGGACACCTCTCTGCAGTCAGCTCTCATGGCTGCTGGCAGGACTGCAAGAGCACCAATAGGCCTTGATGGCTCCAACCATCCCTCTCTGAGCTCCCCTATGGCTCCACTTCAGCCTCCTGGGACTGTTGGCCCCTGCACCAGTGATGCCATAGCAGGGCTGGTCTCTAACTGCCACAGCTAGGCCCACATCCCAGCCCGGCCTCCACCTGTCCCCATGCCCAGGGAAGTGCCTGATGCCAGGGAGGCTCCCATGCCTCCTGGCTGTGGCTGTGGGATGAGCCTGTGCCAGTCCCTGCCCTGAGAGACCCACCATGGAGAGCCACTGGACCTGTGGTGCCCTGGAAATCTCTGTTCACCACACTGCAGTCCAGCAAGCCTGGGCTCTGGGTTTTAGGCTCTTGTTTGGGCTGATATGGCTGAGAGTGAGAGATGTGTCTTTTCCTAAATAAGGCTAAAAGCAATGGCAGCTGGTAATCAGTGACACACTACCGTGGCACTGCTCTCTGGTGGTTTTTTTAATAATAATTATTTCTATTGATTTTGCCTTAGTTACAGCGTCAGGACTGGGAAAACAGGATTCCTGGTTCTCAGGCATCATAGGGCCTCCCTTGTGCC